TAAATCCATGCACTTCATTTACTTCTTGATTTGGCTAATCCAGATGTTAAAATTTGTTGTGAGAACATGTAAGAACCGGGCTGGTATTGTCTCGGTCAATAATTGGAAAGAATCACATGAGGTTGTATGAATGATAATGTAGTTCATATGATTGAGTGCAAATAAATAGGGAAATATTCATTGAATGGTGTAGAGTTAAAGGACTTTAAAGTAACAGGTTAAAGCCCCCAACTTGGTTTATTGTTTTAGGTTCTGATACGAGATGTTAGCCCCCAGGTGGAGGGAATCGAGGGAACTCTAGAGTGAGAGCTAGTATCTTCCCTGCCTAGCTGGTCTTCAGAACTATTCAAACTTTAAATTAACCAACATTCTTTATAGCATCTCTAGTAAGGGTAAAAAAAATTATTGCTCTTATTTGACACAATGCAATATGCATACTTCCACAACAGAATTCCTATACTTATTACTGATTCATGATAAAGAGAAATATATTTTCATATTTAGTGTTTTTCTTCTACAAAAATTTAAGTTATCTTTTTAAGTTTGTTTTGTTTTTGTCAAAATATTAAAATTACCAAAAATATTTAAACTTTCTTTACTGTGAAACCGTCTTTAGTTTAAATAATTATCTTTTTAAAAATAGAAAGTTTTTCAAAAAGTGCATAATGCATATCTTTCCTGTGGGTTCGATATTCAGGTCATAATTAAAAAGTCCTATATTGCTTGATAACGATACATATACTTGTGTAGTATCTCAATATATATAAATTAAAAGTTAAATTCTTCATTTTCTTCAAGATCAATTTTTTGATTTTGTTGCAAAATAAGGAAATATAAATGAAAAATATAATAGGAAATATAAAAATATAATCAGAATTATTTTTATACTGTTGCATATAAGCAGTTTCGGGATCACTTGCACACTAAGCATACCCATCGTGTGATTCTGCCCTAACGAGAATCACACTTCTTCACCTTCCTATGGCACTGCCACGGACTGTCGTAGGCACTTTCTTGAGTCACTACTCCTCACACACTTTTTCACCTCCTACGACACTGCTTCAGACTATTGTAGGTGTTTTCTCGAGTCATTGCTCCTTAGACACTCACTCCCGACACTTATGTGTTTTTTTTATGTCACCCTCACTCCCAACACTCACGTGTCTTTCTCCAAGCACTGCTCCTCGCACCCTCACTCCCGACACTCACTTGTCTTTCTCCAAGCACTGCTCCTCAGACACTCACCTCTGACAATCATATATTTTTCTCAAGTCTCTACTCCCCACACACACTTTCACCTTCTATGACACTTCTTCAGATTGTAGTAGTTATTTTCTCAAGTCACTTCATCTCGTGCACTCTTCCTAGAACATTACTTAGAACGTTGTAGGTGTTTCTTGATGCATTGTGTTTTCATTCCTTTCTCTTTTTTATTTTTAAAGGAGTTATCAGATTTTCTATCGTTGTATACGTCACTTTTTTGAATAAGTCTCTCTTCTAAATCATAAGAATGATTAGGAGAAAAGAGGAATTGAAAAAACAAGACATAAGATAAAGGCGTTACTGCATCTGAGTAAGGTAATCAACCCTTGACCTTAAGCAATCGTTGCAGCCTCGTGCGAATAATTTATTTTTAGATTTGATAGCTTAGAATGAATCGAAGATGGTTGTGTGTCATACTAAACAATGAAGACCTATAATTGAATTTTCTAGCTATAAATTGTAAGCAGGACTGACAATCAAACTATTTCAATCAAATAAAGATTTTAGGGTTATTTTTAATTGTGTAGATGGAATGTGCACCCTAAATGCCATAATATAACACTATTTTGAACTATTAAACTACTCTAAGTGAGGTAAAGGCCATAATATAACACTATTATGAATATATTTAAATTTTCTTAAAATTTTAAAGAAATTTTTTGTTTACATAATTTATATAAAAATTATTTTATATAAAAATTTATTCTTAATTATCCTTAGAAAATTTTAGACTATCTAAGCATATCATCTTTTCTTGGTGCAATCATGAATTTTCATGGCTATCTTACACAAATTCAATTTTAGTTTGAAAATTCTTATTTGTCTAATTTTTAAAAATAGGCTAATAAAACAAATTCAAATTCATTTAAATTTTTAGGCATTACCAGTACATTTTTTTTTTCATAAATTTAGCCATCATCTTGAGTATATGTGAGCACCTTCTAAATTATTGAGTATATGTGAGCCTAAGCATTGGATGAATATATATCATGTAATCTATTTTTCATTATTAAAATAGCTTCTTCTACTTATAAAAATTGCAAAACTTAATTAATTTGATCAACTAAGGATTGCAACATGTTTATTGAAGCCAAATGTCAAATATTAAACATATCTAACTTTATATATTTAATTTTATTATTTTGATATCAACTTAATGATATATAATGAAGGTTTTGACATGAGTTTAGCCCTAGTTAGTAAGAGATCAAACTTTTTATGATGACATAGACAAGTTCCATGACGCAACTACCAAATGTTAAATAATTATCCAGAATATATTTGGAAAGAACCTTTTTTTTTACCTATTTTTCCTAAAATATTCATAAACACATGATTTCACTATGCTAACTTAGAAATATTATGAAAATAAGATAAAAATACCCAAAAATTATTTGGGTTTGTTGGTTTTAATTTTAGTGTGCTATTGATACCACTATTTTAGTTTAAATAACCTGATACTCATTTTCTTATATGATGAGCCAAATGCACACTAATTTGAGATATTAAGTCAAACGTCATGACATCACTCCTTTGCACCACAGTGCTAGGGCCTTCTTGTCAGCTCCTTGTTGATCTCATTTTTATATGAGGTCTTTTTATATGAGGTCTATCATAGGTCTATCATGCTCTCTTTCTCTCTCTAGAACTTAGGACTTAACCTTAAGTTTTTCTTAGAAACTTTCTGAGAAGAAAAATGATTTATCCAAATGCCAAATTATAAATTCAAACCAAATCTTTACTCCTTTTATTTTCTTGTACTTAATTTTAAGCCCCAATTTTAAACCCTTGACACTTTGTTGAAATGATTGAAATTAAGTCATTGAAGATTAAGTTAAGTTCCCATAGGCTTGTAAATGCCTTCAAACTACCCTTTGGCCTAAGTGAACCCTTTGGCCTAAGTGAATTTGGGTCTTTAGCTTGTTTTTTTTTTTTTTTTTTTGGTTCTTTTCAATCTCTTTCCATCATTTGAGTTAAAGAGAGCACATTTGGTAAGGTGTTCACTTTGAAACACTATTGAATTCATCTTAAATGAGAAATAAAAAAAGAAATGAAAATAATTATAACAAATAAATCAAAATCAAAATGAGATGGAATCAAAATCATTACAATTCAAAATTCAAAATTCAAACATAAAATTATAAAATTGATGAAATTAAAATAAATTAAACCGAACTTGTAAAAACTTTAAACCTATTTCAAAAGAAATGAGTTGACTCCAACGTGGCTCGAAACCAAAATAGTTAACAACCCTAAGAACATAGACTTATATATAAAAAGTGTAATATAGATAAATGAATTTGTAGTTGAAGGGAGCTAATTACATCATCAGCTAAGTTCAAGGTGTATAGCCATCAATGGAAGATTTGCTGGCTTTAATGCTAGGAAAGTAGCTCAAAACGAAGGTGATAGTGCATAAACCAAAGAGGAGGCGGCCAATTAACCCGTGAATCCGGAGAGAAGAACCTATAAAACCCACCGGCGTCCACGTCAAACACAGCAGCATCGCGCACATTCGCCCTGCATTCCAAGCTCTCATATCTGTACATCTCAGTGAAATAAATGGAGTTCCTTTTCAGCCCCGACCTACCAGCAGCAGGCACCGAAAAAATATGATTGCAGCCAACAAATATTGCTTGATCATTCAAATCACTCGCATTTGCTGGAATCCACCCAGACTCCATACATGGTTCCTTGGTTCCTTTATCATCTTTTATCATCTGATCAAGCTTTGTGATTCTGATATCGCAAGTTTTTGACATGACATTTGGCTCATCCTCATCCTCATCCACATCCACATCCTCATCTTCATCTTCATCTTCATCTTCACCATCTTCATCTTCCAGTGACAGCCCAAGCCTTAACATTTCAGCTTCCCAATCCTTATAAGCATTTACACTTCTACAGATCCGCAGAAAACGACCAGATAAAAATACAAGATGACTTCGCCTGTTAATCCCAAAGATGTCGCCTTTAATATGCGCCACGGCTGTCGGCTTCACTGGGAGAGGTTCAGGAGATTTCCATAATCCGCTCGGCCAATCACATATATGCAGATCGAAGAACATCAAACAACCAGATGAGTTCACGGCATACAGTCTCGGATCTTCCTTACGGTACATCACATCCTCGATTCTACTGGAGAGCTCGCTGGAGACCGGAACAGGGGTCCATGCCACATCTCCGACTCTGGCAAAAGCTAGTTGGGTCTGAAGTGATTCGATCCCATAAAACACCGTTGCTACGCCGAAAGGTGGAGAGGAGGTCAGAACAATCTTTAAGAAATATGCGTCGCGAAAGCATTCTCTGGCGTGATAGCTTTCTGCACCGGTGGCCGCGTGCTTGGTGAAGAATCCTACCAGGAAGCCATCAGGGTTATCATGGAGGAATGTGACTTCGGCGGGATTGGAGAAGAGGGAGAAGAGGGAAGGGAGAGGGAGCTCTTCACGGGTGAGGGGGTTCAGGACTCGGGGATTGAGGTCGAGGTCGAGGGTCACCAGCCATCCATCCGGCGAAGCGCCGACGCAACGGCGGCCAACCATTTCTGGAACAGGGGAGATTAGTTGAAGCTGGCTTTCGGAGAGTTTGAGGAAAGAGATGAAGTCTGCTTGCTCGCTGTTTTTGTTCAGGAGGAGCATCCATGGAATGGAGGGTGGGATGGGAACGAAGGATGCGCGGTAGCTAGGTGGATTTGGCCAGCCGTTGAGTGGCAGTCCGAGTGACCAGGCCCAGGTTTTGCAGACGAGAGGAAGGCGGATGATGTCGGCCACGAAGAGTTTTTCGGCGATGGTGATGAGGAGATGAGGAGAGAGGAGTGACCAGTTGGCTGGTTTGCGGATGGTGATGTTACAGGGCGGGGGAGAGGGATGACTGATCGACAGCGGAGGTGGCGGACCCGTCGGGCTATGATCTGGACCTGTGGAGTATGGGAGAAAAATTAGTAATAGATTAAAAAGAGCTTTTTTTTTATGGCATGTAAGTAGCAGACCGTTAAATTTAAAAGAACTTTTTTTTTTTTTTTGTCTTTCTCGTTGTATTTGTACATTTATAAAAAAAGAGGAATAAGAGAAATCTTCTTTAATACAATTTAATCATGATGATTTACCATCAAGTTTGTATTATAATTTGAATTCAAATATGTTGGTAGTAGCTCGTTGACGCGCTTGAATTCGATTTGAAGGTCGAGGTAACCGGCTGAGTGGCAATCGGGTCTGGTGAAGCAAAAAACTTGTCAGTATGCAAATAGCGGTCGGACACCCCTCGTGTGAAGTCTAAGATGGTCTGGGATTATAAACGTGATCTGTCGATTGAGTCGCTCGTCAGAGTTTGTCAGTCAACTCTGACCGAGCTATTGATCTTTAGGATGATCGACTAGGAGCATATTCCTATAGCCTGATGTCACGATTGACTAACCATTATCCTGAGTCGCATGATTACTTTAAGATTTATGCTGACAAGTTTTGGTACATACATGCTGGATTTAGACTTTACATTAAATCTATGACTAAATTTGTTTAGTATGTGCTGTCAAGCATCCCTAAAAAGACTTTTTCAAGTGATATATATATATATATTTTGTAATGCTCGCAATAAACTATAATATAATTTTAAAAATAATTTATATAGCATATTTTTATTTATTTTTTCATATTTTTTAAATCCATGCTTCATTCAATTTAAGGATATATTAAGATGGGGAAAAAAAAAAAACTTTATGTAATTTTATAGAAGAGGTTTATTGCATAACTAATCCAAGTTAATTAAATATAAATCTAACCTTAAAAAAAAGCTAAATCAATTGAGAAACATTAGCATAGTTAATCCAAATCAAACAATCATTAGAAAATTTTTGCAGTATTGAATTAAGACAAAATATATTCATAGCAAGATATAATGAAAAACAAAAATAGGACCTGAAATTTTGTACCAATTTTTAGCACTTTAATCTAGCACATTGGTGTGCGAATGAAGAAAATATAACGCTTCCGGACTCCAACAATACAAAATCATTTGTAATGTAGTGGGACCCGATTTCATGAATTAAAAAAATGAAAGAATTTGTTTTTTGTGTGACTCGGCCCGAAGTTCGCCTATTTCATTGAAAAAATGAATTATATTATGATGATATTTTTTAGGTATTTTGGTGGTATTCTGATAGCAAATTAATGGTATTCTAATGATATTCGGTGATATTATAGTGGTATATTTTGTGATATTCTAGTTGTATTATGGTAGTATTTTGGTTGTCTTTTGGTGGTATTCTTGAGATATTTTGGCGGTATTATTATTATATTTTGGTGGTATTTTATTGGTATTCTTGTGGTATTATGGTGATATTCTTATGACATTATGATATTATAATACTGGTATTTGATAGTATTATAGTTGTATACTTGTGGTATTTTGCTTGTATATTTGTGATTGTGTGGTTGTCTAGGGTGATATTATGGTAGTAATATGGTGGTATACTTATGTCATTCTGCTGGAATACTTGTGGTATTATGGTTGTATTATGTTGATATGCCAGTAGTATTCTAACTATATTCTGATAGTATTATGATGATATGCTTGTGGTATTCTTCTAGTATATCAAGATACCAGCAGAATACCAATAAATTACCACTAAAATATCACCATAATACAACTAGAAAATCACTAGTCTACCATCATAATACCCCCAAAATACCACTAATATACAATCAAAATGTCATCAGAATACTACAAGAATATCACCATAATATCATAGAAAACCAAAATAATAACACTATAATACAACAAGAATATCACTAATATACAGCAAGAATAACACATGTATAGGAGCAAAATACCACAAGTATACAACTACAATATTATCAAAATATCACAAGTATACTAATAGAATACCACAAATATACCAAAAGCATATTACATAATACTAATGGAATGTTGATAGTATAATACTAGAATATAACAAGAATATCACAAGAATACCACGAGAATATCACCAGAATACCACAAGAATATCACCAAAATATCATCAAAATACAACCATAACACAATCAGAAGACCACAAACATACTACCATAATACCACCAGAATACCACAAAAATACCATCAGAATATCACCAGAATATGACAAGAATATCACTAGAATACCACCAGAATACAACTAGGATATTACCAGAATATCACCAAAATAACACAAAAATATCAAATTTCACTAGAATACTACCAAAATATCATCATAATATAATTAGAATATCACAAGTATACCACCGTAATACCACCAAAATATCACTAGAATGTCATTAGTATACTACCGAAATACCACTAGAATATCACCAAAATACCATCATAAAACAACTCATCTTTTTATGAAACAAATAATCTTCTTGTTGGGTGACGCAAATAGATAGTTTTTTTCACATTCTTTTTGAATTCATGAAATTGGATCCTACAACATCACAAATGATGCCATATTATTGAAGTCCTTGCACAAAACTGTGTCTGGAATTTAGACGTAATTATTTTCTTGTGCGAATGCAGCATTTTCCCACATTTATTTTCATAACAACAAAACAAAACAAAAAAAATACTGAAAATACAACGCAACCATAATAAAGGTTGATATAAAAAGTAAAATACCTTGGCTTGAAGTATTTAGTTCGAGACTTCTCATAAGGTGACGAATGGTTGTACTTGTGGCCGCAAATATCCCGTTGTAGAAGCGGGAAAGCGTGTTGGGCTTACTGTAAGAAGCGTTAGAGCATTCTTGTGGAGCACCTTGGCCAACCATTTATAAAATTGAAAACTTTAGCAAAACTAATCCAAATCAAATGCTTATTTGAAAAGCTTTACACTATTGAATTGGGATAATATGAACATTGTCATTGTTGGGTCTCAAGTTTAAGATGCGAAAAATAAAATGTTGCATTAGGTAATCAACAACAAGTGTAAAATATTTATGGAATAATCAAAACATAAATTGAAATCATTGTGTAAATGTTAGGGTGTCCCTTGTAAGTGACATGTTGTATGACCTGAATACAATGAATATTGTGTAAGAGCGGCTACATCGATGCCCTCATGTAGTGTTAAATAAATAAAAGTTCTCACAATATAGATGTATGCGGGCAAAAAAGAATTATCCATGAAACTAATATTATAATAAGATATTGGAATATAGAGACTTTAACAGTTAAATTAATGAACTTAGTACACATTATGGTTCATAGAAAGATAAATATTTTATGCATTCAAATAATATAATGAGTTGGCGATAAGATTAAGAAGATTGATAGCGCAGGTTTTTGACTTGGATATTTAGGTAGGAGTCACACTAAAAATTATGTAGGCGTAATTATAAATAAAAGTTTAACGGACAATGTTGTAAAAGTTAACATAATTATAAATAGAATTATAACCCTAAAGATTGTTGTTGATATTAAGAACTTTAATGATATAAGTGTTCATGCCCTTCAAGCAGATTTAAATATATGTTCAAAAGAAAATTTTTGGAACGACCGTGAAGAATTAATACAAATGATACCTCTTGAAGAAAGAATTTTTATTAAAGGAGTTTAAGCGGTCATGTTAGTATAGTAGAATATCTAAGAATTATTCACAGTGATTATGATTTTAGAGTGATAAATGAAGACGAGAAAAACATATTAAATTTTGTTTTAGCTTATGATTTTGTTATTACTAATATTTTGTTTAAGAAAAAAGACATGCATATTATCAATTCTAATATTGGATGTAATAAAATATAAATTGATTATTTTCTTATGAGAAAAAAATAAAATGAGATCTAAGAATGGATCTAAAAAGACTTGTGCATGTTCTAAAACAACATGAAAATATGACATTCAATAGAATACAATGGAAAAAAAAATTATTTATCCGACCTCACTTAGTGGGATAAAATAAGCTTATTATTATAATTGCTATTAAATTGGGACAATATAGCAAAGAAAAAAAAAAGTGACAATATAATGCAACCCTGATATATTCATATTGAAAGGAAAATACCTTGGCTTGAAGTTTTTAGTCCGAGAATCTTCAGAAGGTGACGGATGGCTGTACTTGCAGCTGTCATGATCTCATTGTAGAAGCTTGAAAGGGTGATGGGCTTGCCACATGAAGCATTGGAGCCTTTTTCTGGGGCACCATGGCCAGCCATGACTTCGAGAAATGAAGGTCTGGGGCTGTTAGTTGTCCTCTCGTGAGAGGATAGAAGAAGAAAACTAGGTGTTAGGAGGGAGAAGGGGCTTTTATGCTAAAGTTTACATTTTTTTTTTTTGTGAGAGGGAGGGAAACATTGAGAGGGAACCAAAAATAAAGGATGGGCGATTAGGGGGGAGGGGAGGGAGAGGGGGAGAGAGGTGAAAAAAATATCATCTTTTCTTTCTTCCTTACGTTTGTTGTTGCGCTTGAGGGGGAAAAGAGCTGCCTTTTTAGAGAAACCCCAATAAATGTGAGGCAAAAAAAAGGTGTTTTTTTTTAATTATTTTATGGATTTAATTTGAAAAGTAAATAAATTATTTTAAAACAATTAAATACTTAATTAAAATTTGATTAAATTTTAGTTAATTTGAAGAGTTTGAAGGGAGGATGTAATTTGTGTTTGAATATTATTTATAATTAATATTTATATTATATAATATTCAATTCAAGTAAGATGATTATAATCTCTAGGTGCGTAACAAATGAAGTTTGATTCAGATTTGAATAGACTAATTTAAATTTGGTGATTTGAGACTAATTTAAACTTGGTGATTTAAACGTGCTCGTGCAGTGTGTTTCGTGAAACAATACTTTGATAAAAAATTATTTCAGGAACAAAAATTCATACAAACTTGAAATATTATGAGTATGAAAACACATAAAAATTGTCGTCGGATAACCATTTTGGACATCATATGTCTCTTCAAATATGATGATGAACATGATTCAACTTTTGAAAAAGTACTTTTGTGCATCAACGAGCCTAGGTGACAGTAATCCACCCGATCCGTCATCAGACATGAATATGTAAAGAATGCACGGATCATAATCGATTAAAAGCTACTAAAGCCGATGGCGATCACAACCAACATGACACTATCCTACATGACTCACGGGTGATTTCGATGGTGATCGAGAACATAAAAGATGTCAATAAAAAAGCATTAATAAATTTATGGATGAGATTTTTGTGTTTTGTACATCGCTCGATAGTTGCCTCAAACATTTTACTATGATTCTGCAAAGATGTAAAAAAAATAAATTGAGTATTAAATTGAGAGAAATGTTAATTTATGGTGACGAAGTATTGTTTTAGAACATAGAATTTATAGGAAAGAGAAGGAGATGGATACAAATAATATTCATGCTATAAAGCTCATCTACCACCTCTCACATCACTTAAAGGGATTAAGAGATTCTTAAGGCATGATGATTCACATCATGCGTACGAGGATTGCGTGGTTGCTGACTGGGATAAGTAAAAAAATAGGATTTTTTATTTAAATTAATTTTAGATCTTAGAAAATTCATAACTTGGTGTAAAAGAATCATAAAAATAAAATAAAAATAGTTTGTTACTTAGTGAATAGAGCAGATTAATGTGGAACAAAAAAAGTAGTATTTGATTAATCTTTTATTTTTAATTAATTAAATTGTATCTGTAATGTTTTAATTTTAATTAAGTGTATAATAATCATCATGACTTCAGATTTTAGGAGTTTGTTCCTCGTGACAGTAGAGGAATTTTTTTATTTTTCGAAAGTCAGAAAGCTTATTTACACATGTAGTCCTAATTTCTAATTTTGGATGGTTATTTTATTTAAAATAATTATATAAATTAAAATATAAATCAAAAAATTATGGGATTTATTTTGGTAGGTTTCTTATAGTTAGAGGGCTTCTGGAAAATTATAAATTAAATTTTATTATTTGAATAATTTACTATAGTTAAATAAACCCGTAAAATTCATAAAAATTAAAATAAATTTAATGTATTTAAAAAATTATCAAAATCAATTCTACACTGTAAATAATACTTATTTTGACTTGACTCAATGTAAAACTTTAAAATTTATTTGATTAATTTTTACCTCTAAAATGGATTTTCCAAATAAAATGGCATTTTTGGCATTAAAATAATTATAATAAATTAAATATAATTAGAAAAATTATGAAATGTGGTTTTTTAAGTTCTTTGTAATCAGGGGCACTTAGGAAAAATAAAAATTATTTTTGAGTAAATACTTTATTTTTAAGCTTATTTTTTAATATAAAATAATTAAAAAATTGAAAAATACAAAAAATGGTTCAAAATGTTTCTAATTACTTACTGATCACTTGAAAAATACAAAAAATGTATTTTCTCTAATTTTTCATTAAAATAATTATAATAAATAAATTTAAAATTCACAAAAATGAAAGTTTTATTTCTCTTAGTTCTTTGAACTTAAGAAATTTTAATAAAAATAAAAAAAATTAATATTTCGTAATTAAAGTTTATTTTCTATTTAATTAAATCATTAAAAATCAATAAATAATTATAATAATCAAAATATAATCTGAAAAAATTATAAAATTTTGTCCAAGTGGTCCTCTAACCTAGAAGAGTCTCCAATAATTTTTGTATGAACAAAAAATTTACTTTGATTAGTTAAATAAATTAATATTGAAAATCATATTTTCTAATTTAAAATAATTATTTAAATTAAATTAAATTTTGAAAAATCACATTTTTCTACTCTGATATTTTAATTGACTCATGAATTGGGTACTCTAAAAGTTGAAAAGTCATTTGAATTATATTTGATGAGTTAGGAAGTGGAGAGCCTTAGAGGTAAAATTGTAATTTTAGATTTTGGTGTCTTAATCAAAATTTAGGATTATTATAAGGGAAAAATTGGTAATTTTGATCCTAATGAATTCTTTTGGATGTTTGAAACATAATGGGTTGAAAAAGTAGAAACTAATTTGCAACCTTCTTGTAATAAGGGTAAAATTGTAATTTTCTAAATTATCAGGATTTGAAAGTTAATTAAAATTAATTGATTTTAAAGTGATGGGCTTTGGTTAGGAAAATGATAATTCACTTATTTTAAGCCCATAATTGATGATAATATGATATATTAATAAGAATATATCCTACTTACAATAAAATTTTGATAATTGCAAATTCACCCATAAAACAGTTAAGGGCTTGGTAGTGAGCTAGGATTAATTCAAACTTATTCAATGAGATTTAGAAAAGATAATACGATTGATAATTAACACATCCAAACACTACAAGCCCAACTTTAGTGGTGGGTACAAAAATCTTTAATGACTTCAGCTTCCTCTAGGGGCATATACTCAAATAACTTTTAAGTAAAATATCAACTGATTAATTGAGTATCATATTCTTAGGATAATTAAAATATCAGGTTCACATAACATTGGGAGTATTAACACATTAAAATTGAATTTAAAGTTTGGGATGATCAATTAAACAATAGAATAGGTTCAAATAAACTCGAAACACTTCAAAAGGGATTTAAAAGTTGTTAGAGATTGTTCCCTAGAACTTTTATAACCTTTTGGATATTTTGAAGGATAATTGAACTTATTATAATTTATTCAAAAAATTGTTCAGAAAATCATCCATTAAAACCTTTAGAGACTCACCAAGTTATGACTTAGGGTTTAGTAACTACACATTCATCTACCCTTGCAACTTGTTTAAATTTCCTACAAAAGTATATATGTATGGTGTAAGTTCTAATGTTTCAGTGGGAGCAGCGAGAAGATGACATGCGCGCTTTTACAGTTTTGTTTTATTGCTGTCATTTACCGCAGTTTACTTCTGCTTTAAATTATTGTACATGCTTGGTTGTGGAGCTTACTTCGCCTGCAAAACAAAATAACTTTTCAAAATTAATTAACAATTTTCAAAATTAAATTAAACTCTTTCAAATGTAACCATAAATCCTTTGAAAAAACAATATTGTTATATCATGTCCTTTTGAATTTATGGGAGTCCCTTGGATGAGGTAACCCACGATTACTTATGAGATTTCCCTGGTTTAAATGGTTTTAACAATTTGTTTAAGCTAAGTATATAAAAAGAAAATAATGATACCAGAACAAGAGATCCGTGGAATCCTAACCGGTGTTGCTCTAATCAACTGTATCCCCCCCTCCCATGATTGAACTTGAACTTGTCATTCCAACTTTTATACCCTTAGACTTTAGGACTGCAACTTCACTGAGGAGCTTGGAGTTAACTTTGTGGCAACCTTTTATAATAGCATGAGTATCTACAATATCAGGAGGACCTACAACATCAACAAGCCATAAGATTTTGAGGTTGTCTGCCTAGTGCGACATAAATCCTCGACTCATCTTCAATCCTTTGCACAACCATGTTGTGCAATTTAAGCTCTAACTCGTTTTAGGATTTCAAGGTTGTCATTCGTCATGACCTAAACCCTCACATCTTCTAGGCTATTTGTGAAATTGTCTCACACAAATGTATGCCCTAACTAATAAAATTAGCAGGATGGAATACTTAATAATTTCGTTCTCAAAATTGAAGCCAAACTATAGAATCTCTTCGAAAGTCATTGAGTTCTCCTCAGGATCAGTGACGACCCCTAACTTTCTCCTTCTTTTGATTCCATAAATAAATGTTTCAAATTTGAATCTTGCTCATTTCACACTTCTTTGTTTGATATTTGAAAAGTTCTGTCCTTTGAAATTCTTGGAGATGATATTTTTTTATCTAAATCGAAAGTTTTCTTAAGTGACTTCGATCATTTAAGATGTAATTCACTATAGGGGTTTGCCTCTATAGGGAGCTTTAAGAACCCAGATAATATAAATCATATTTAATCTTTCATATTAGATAGGGGAACTTGTCATAAAGGTTCGCAGACCAAACATATGTCATAAATTCTATAGTTTATTTAATCGAGTCTCACTAGCAAGTAGTGTATCTATCCTTCGAGGTAGATACATTGCTTGTGATGTCGTGCTCGTTTATTAAACTATCGTCTGTATGAGATCAGTTCAGTCTCGTATTTTCAAATTTAAAAAATTATTTTCCAAAATCATATTATATTAAATCAAATATCTTTTTTCCCAATCTGACAGACTACACCGGAATTATGAGTAGTTTTCTTGTATTCCGTACCTTAATTCTAAATCTCTTTTATGAACAGAATTAGGGTCAGGTGAGTACTTATGCGGTGTCTGACCGTCTT